GAAACAACTTGTGGTATTGTAACTAACCAGTGACAAGGTGATCCTTTAGGAACCAAAAACTACAAAACTACCCCGAACATCATAAGACAAAACAACTTGTGGTATTGTAACTAACCAGTGACAAGGTGATCCTTTAGGAACCAAAAACTACAAAACTACCCCGAACATCATAAGACAATCCTAATGACCAGGTGACCCTATGACACTAAGACCATACAAATGATAATGAGTCTTCTTCAAAAGGAGGACAATCACTTGCATTTTTAAAAAAGGTTTTTCTATATGTCTTACAATTATAGTTTATAAAAACATGGTCACATGAATATTGCATGCATCAAACAATTCATGTACCCTTTTGTAAAATTCATATCACTTGTTATGAGGTTCTTTATGTGCCAAAATAAAACTTAATTTTACGTACCTTAAGTCACGATCAATTATAAACTGAAATTCGGTATTTTAAAGTTTAGTCGTAGATCAGTTTTAAGAACCAGTAAAAGTCTTAACTTTATGCATCTTATAATAAAAGTCATTTTAATAATCAAAATCTTATGACTTTATGAATTTATAGAATAAACTCATTTCATTTTATAAACTCAATTTTATGCATCTGATAATAAAAGTCATATTTTAATAAACCAAAACTTGGGTGATGATACTTATGTTTCAATTCTCATTTGGAATGCATAAAACATAATATCAACATGTTGCATTATGTTTAAAACACCAATATCATATATTGAGTTTTGACGCATAAAATAATCACTAGTTTTATTATTTGCCATTATAACACCATATACCGATTTTAGTCTTTTTAATTAAAACCCCTTATTTATTGTAAAAATATGGAGTTTATATTGTTTAAACATCTTTTAACCCATTTTAAATATTTTAAAGTTGGGTATTTATAAGGTTTACAATAAAACAATTTTCAATGAAAATCAATTTTCAACCAGTAACCGGTAAAAATGTTTTTACAAATATCCATTTATAAACATCTGATGTTATCTTTTAAATATTTTTAACTCAAACTCCAAGTGATATTAGTTTATGATAAAATGTTATTTAACATGTAAAAACAATTTCCATACATCAAACGTAACATACAAGAACATCAAAATAAACATCACAAACATGAATTAAAACATATGTGCATAAACCAACCAACTCTACTGACATTTTGTGAATCAACACAAAATACCAAGTCCATTCCTAATGGACATTTAAAGGGACTAAAATCTTCTTGTAATGTTGTTGTTGAAGCTCCCACTTGATTAAACATCCATTTCTTGCAAAGTTAGAAAAGCTTCTTTAAAGGTAAATAATTCAGCAATGCAACACTTTTGAGAAAAGGTTGCATAAAGTGTTGCATCAGGAGCAACAACCCTTTTGCAATAACTATCAGTGACAGCTTTAGTGACATTTTTCAGAAAACTGTCGCTAACATTAATGTACACTTGTTAAGGCCAAAAATTACATTTTGGTCTTCAAAAAATGGCTCCATTTTCATTTCTTATTACGTTTTTGTACAAATAAATTATTTTTAATAACTAATCAATTAGTTTACAAAATAAACCAACATAACATACACATATAAAATATAATAACAAACAACTCTTTGTTTTTTCTAAGGTAACTTTCATACAACCAAAATGCATGAAAAATGGTTATTATATAAAATATAATAACAAACAACTCTTTCTTGGTTATTACAACCAAGAAAACGAATCTATTTAATTTATTATATACCATATGAATAAATAAATATTACAACCATTTTTAACAAAACAACCAACACAACAAACAAAATAGTTCATGGCTAGTTTATCCACATCATACACATATAAAATATAATAACAAAGAACTCTCTGTTTTTTCTAAGGTAACTTTTATACAACCAAAATGCATGAAAAATGGTTATATATAAAAATGAACAATTTTAACCAAGAAGTTGCCAAAGAAGACAAATATGGATTTTTCTTAACCAAAATAAATTCATGCTTGTCTTCCAAAAACCAAAGATTATCAAACATAAAAAACCATTCTAACATTTAAAAGATAACTCTAATATAACTAACGGGTTTTGATACAAAATATAAGTTTGTTTTTCACAAAACCGCAACGTAAAACTTTAAAAAATAACAAGTTTATTTTTAGTTCATAACAAAACCAAATTACCAAGGATCCATTTATAGAGGTTAGAATGAAGTAAAAACAACCAAATAGTTTTTAGAATGATAACCTTTGAATCCTTTGAAACCACTTGGTTTTGGGGTGTTGATGAAGATAGAAAAAATCAAAGATTATGAATTATCTATGTGTATCCACCATCAAGAGTGAGACACTTGGAATTATAGTTCCTTCTTGTATTCTTGAGTATCTTAAGTCTTTAAGTGCTTAACTCAAATAAGCACTAAAGGAGACAACCCAAGGAACCTTTAAAACCATCAAACTAACTTCAACAGATAGAGATGAGGAAAGATAGAGGATTTTCAGCCATACGCTTTGAGAAAATATTACAAAAAAAAAAAAAAAAAAAAAAAAAAAAAAAAACCCTACCTCAAACACCATGCAAGAAGCACTCTTTTATAGTCCATGCAATGTAAGGGCTTTAGATTAAAACTAGCTCAAAAACCATACGGACTTACCTTTATTTATAAGAAAGATTCTTCAGTTTTTATAAACTAAAAGTTTATAAACTATAAACTTCGTGTTTAGGTAAAAGACAAAAGAATCCAATCAGTCCAAAAGGTTGTGCATGACGTATTGATGAAGTATTGAATCGATTAATAACGTAGAATCAGAGTAACGAGAATTAAGAACACCAAGAGTAAATAAGATCTCCTTTCTGCTCATTATGCTTCAAGATTACAAAGAGAGAATAGACAAGTCAGACTCACAAAAACTCTTATCTAACTCTAAGTAACTCCCCTATTTATAGGAGAACAATAAAGCATACAAAAAATTACAAATGACTAGACATTCAGTTTTGACATAAACTGCCTTTGTAAAATAACATTATAATTTCGAAATCTTACAACCTAACTTCGACCTTAACAATCTACCCCTTTGTAAGCAATGTTGAAATCACTTGATCAAAACTTGAGCAGCTAAGTGTAATGTTCTTTGAATCTTAACATACCAATTCATCACCTTCTTTAGGTCTGCCTTATCTCCATCATTATTCTTCTTACAATTATTCATACGAAGAATTAAGTTCGTATACTGAGCAGTTGTATATCTTTCAATTTCGCTTGTTTGAAAAAAGAATTTCAATAACTTTCCCTTCTTATTCTTCCCAGCAAAAACTATACCAAAAGGATTCAAACATATTTCATGATCCACATAATTCTTCATTTGAGGTTCACTCATTGCCTTGATTTTAGGAGCAACAATTTCCTTTTTCATTGTAGCAGCCAACTCAACATCTGTCATAGCAAGACAATCATAGTAATTCTCTATGAAAAGTTTTATATTACCTAGACCCAGTTTCAACACATCCTTGCTTGTGTTTTGGAGTTTAGAAGCACCCAAATCCTTGATAATATATGCAACTTGAATCAAATCATTCAAGTTCATCAAAGGAAAATTAGCAATGGAAAATTCGAAAGTTTCTTTGTTTGCCCTCACTACATGATATCAAAAAAATTTAAGCATATTTTCGAACATTTCCCCTTTCGATATACCAAGTACTTGAACAATTTTTACCAGTGACCAAACCTCTTCTTGTACTTTTCCAAACACTGCATGGAATCTCAGCTTCATATGAGAAAAATCATCCTTGTTCTCAAATTTGTTCACAATCTTGTATTGAGTAGTGAGAAACATCATCTCATTGATAGGAAAATCAAGCTGATTCATATCTGAGTTCTCAATTGCATAACTCTTTCTCGGTTTTTTCTTAAATTCATACATTTCATTGTATGCAACTCTTGCTTCAATGTTTTCATAATTGTGCAATTCAAGTGGATCACCTTTGTTTATTGTAGGTGGATCACTTGCATGAAGCATCAAAGTACTCTGAATATGACGCTACTTTTCCATTTCTGCTTCAATTTCTGCCTTTCTTTCCTCTTTCGACTTTTCAAGAAGAATTATTTTCCATTTGTCTAAATTTTTTGTTATTTCCTTGGGTTTCGAACTACTTCCCTCTTTAGCAGTTGATCCAATTACAATGCCTTTTGAAATTGGTCTTGTAGTAACAACAGTTGATAGTATGGGTTCAGCTTGCGAAATTATTGGTTTTGAATTGGGAATGTGAGTTGTAAAAACTTTTCCAACTACTTTCACTTCATCATTTGTAATTCCGGATGCACCTTCTCCTTTACCAACATTCACATTTTCTCCCCCTTGCACCCCGGTAAAAACAGGTGGGGTATTTGTTGGTAAGATAGTGGCAAACTGAGACAAGGGAGCCAACATTTTTTGAATTGCAGCTTCAAAATAACGAAACTTCTAATCAATAAGCTCGGGTGTAAAAGGGGATGAGCAACTAGGTTTCGAAACAATGCCCTTCAATTCTTCAAGTAGAGAAGTAACATTTTCAAAACTTGTAACAGCAGATGTTGCATTCTCATCAAATTTATGATCAAAGGATTGATGAGTTTTAATGAATGTTGTAACAACATCTGTGATAATATCAACTTTCTCAAGTAGAGAAGAGTATTTGGTATCCATCTCACGAAGCTCTTTGGATACATCAACCTCCAGTTCTTCAATCATGTGATCGACATTCTCACGAACCGTTTTAACATCTTGTACAAACAGAACATGGCATTCCTATGCAATCTTTTTCAAATCCTTGAGCTCATCATTAAACGTCGAAGAAGCAGACTTGACTCGCAACGCATTACATTTATCCATGGAATCAAGATTTTCTAAAAGATGAGATTCATATTCATTAATCAGCTTCTCCATTTTCTAAAACAATCGAACTTCCTGATCTTTATGCATCACATCAATTTCAATACTTAAGACATAATTCTTACCCCTGCATCTTCTTAGGATTGAAGTACGAAATTGAGGTCCTTGTTTAAAATCTCGAACTGCTTCCCGAACATCAACATATGATCTGGGATATCATCTTCTTCGAGATTAAATTCTAAATCAACAAATGAACGTCCAAACCCTCCATTGTCAGTATCATCATCGTTAAGAGGTTTAGGTGGGTCAGTGGATTGGGATGAAAAGAGAGAAGTGATGGGATTATCAATGACCATATCAAAAGTAGGAGAATGAGTGGTTGGAGAAATAGAGGTGATTATTAGTGGTAAAGAAGTGTCAGTTTGAACCGTGGCAATTTCAAGAATACCTTGAGAAGCAACAAGATGCTCGTCATTCAAAACTCCTTAACCCATATTGACATTTACATCCGTATTAGATACGTATGTAGAGATTCCTAAGGTTCGAACCTCCTCATAAAATGATTCAGTTAACGAAACCTCAGGTGGTATGTCCGAAGTCTTCATAGGAATCGACACTTGTGTGGATGTACCAAATATAGTAGATATGTCTACTATCAAAGTTTCCACAGATCAACTTCCAATTCCTGTCATGTAGAAAGTTGATTTGGAAGGTGAGTTCTGTAGAGAGGAAGGATTACCAAGTGGAGAATCAGGAACAATTTCTTCGTCTTCATCAACTTGAAGAATCAACTTTCTCTTCTTTAGCTTCTTGGTCTTGCTAGAGATATGCTTGGCAACATCCTCAGCCATGCGCTTCTTTGATGATGTTAAAAAAAGTATAGGAACTTCACGAAGAACAACACCTTTTCTTGTTACATGAGGCTTCCGAATCATTGATGGTGGAAAACTAGATGACCTTTCAGGATATGTTTTGGCTTTATAAGACATCTTTTTGATACGCTTTAAGACACCAGATTTTGTTGGAATTAGCTTCTTGGTAAAATCAGGTTGGGTAGTTTCCTGAGATTTCTTAGACTTCTTCGAAACTTTCACCACCTCTACAGGCTGTTTCTTTGGTGACTTAGAAACAGTTGTGTCTTTATCAGTTTTCTCAGGAGTTAAGATAGTGTTTGACTTCCGATATTTCTTTGAAGAGCCTTCATCAGGTTTTGACAGCAAAATACCAAGTCCATCATTAATGTTGATGCAAAGTAGATAAGCCTCCAATACATGATTCTTAGGATCAACCTACTTTAGCATCCCATCAGGAATTCTAGCAACTGTTGGAAAAACATTTACATCATCTTCAATTGCCCTGGGGTAGTGATACTTCAAGAATTCAGCTTTAGGTTCATCAGCTGGCACCAAAATACCTTCCTTCTCATAGACAAATTGGAGAATAAGACTCGAATACCTTGCACATGAAATCCCATTAACCACATATGTATTTTCAATGCTTTTCAAGAATTCTTTCCACAATTAAGTTTCATAGTCAACAGACAAATCATAGCTGAATACCCGCAACCATAGCATACACCTCCATACTCCCTTTGTCTAAACCAACGCTTCGACCAGTAAGACATCGGAGGTAAATCCCAAATAGAAAATTCCACAAATGTCACACCCCAAAACCGAGAACAGCGGAAATGTTCTGGGCGGAGGACGTCATTGTAATGTATCACAACAATATAAATTAGTAAACAAGAAACATCATCATCCATTGCATTAATAGTATATTTTTAAATACATGTGTGTTCTTTCATATCATAAACAACATAATGAATGTTCAAAATAAAAGATGAGTCTTGAATGCTCCGTCTTCACAAAACCTGGTCGTCGTACCTGTCTATTTATAACCTGAGAACACAAGTTATTTTGATAGCGAGTATCAACAATAAAGATGGTGAATTCATAAGTATTAATGTATCTTTGATTTCTAATAAAACTGTAAAAGAAAGACTTGTAAGTGTTTGAAAACCCTAGAAAATCCCATATTTCCTACTAGTATAAAAGTTGTCTTCTACCAAGACTTGACTGTTTTGAAAGTAGTCTTCTACCAAGACCCGACTATTTTGAAAGTAGTCTTCTACTCAGACCCGACTGTTTTGTAAGTAGGCATCATAGTAAATGTGATGATTTTTTCCCTTGTTTAACTATTATTATAAAATTTATAGTCTACCTTATCGTTTATGTGTATCAGTCACAATATAAAGGTAATAAGGAAAAATAGCTTATCTATATCAAATATGTCCTACCTCTTCGTTCATGTGAATGTGTCACAAAGTAAAGGAAGGAAAATAATATAATAACTAAATGTATCCCTTTTGCACTAGGATATTCACGGCGTGGAAACTCGCCGAAGAGATACAACCGTAGACACCCGTCGATGATCATTTTCCCTACTGTAGCTTACAGCCTTGGGGTGGAATGGTAAGTCCCGAAACATTTGTAATAGATTCTATGTAATAGTATCTATTAAATGTATTACTGTAAACGTGTTCATGTAAGTGAAGACTTAGACACACACAATGATCCTAATAACATATGAAGACATATGTGTGTATATATATATATATATATATATATATAATTGGTGATTTAAACACTAATTAGACAAGTATAAACATCCTAATGTGTGGAAAACACTTTGGTCAAAGTGTTAGGAGGCTATTAGGTTGCAACAAAGGGGGGCAAAGCCTTATAAGGGAGTTTATGGTCAATGGACCATACTTTTCGGAGTTTATGGCCTAGGGGAGTTTACTCTTGGCCGTAAACTTTCAATTGGGTCTCCAAATGAGGCTCAAAGCTATAATGACTTAAGTTGTTAAGTGTTCCAAGGCTTAAACAAGAGGTTGGGTGGGTTTAAGGTCCAAGAATGGCCTTGTATGGAGTTTATGGGCTGGGGACCACTTCCCCATGAGTTTACAGCTATAAAATCATGGTATGAAGTACCATTTCGTGTATTGAAGTCCCTAGTTCAATGGTGTAAGGTTCTATGCTAAGTTCCAAGGCTTACTAAGGTGTTAGGGTGTTATTTGCACCCTTAAAAGGGGTTTACTTCCCAAGAACATGTCTTGGCCGTAAACTCCTTGAATCATGTGTTTCCTTATGTTTTTTTAAGCCCTAAACATGTTAAACCTAGTGTACAATGAGTTAGAATAAGAGTACTTACGATCTAGGAGCTTGAATGGTCATTTTTGGCCAAGAACACTAGTGTGTGTTCTTGGTGTTCTTCGTGAAACTAAGAATACTTGAAGATCAACTCAACTGAAATGATTTCACAGATTGAATGATGTAAGATCACTAGATTAATTAAGATATCAACTAGTTAGGACAAGAAACTTACGAGTTTTGAAGATCGGGGATGAAGATCCCGATGATACTTGAGAGAAAACTGAAGTTCTTGGGTTTGGGATCTGAGGAATGGCTAGAAATGATCAAGACTCACTTATATAGGTGGGAGTTCATGGCCTTATTGATTTTACGGCCGTAAACTCCATGTTTACGGCCATAAACCCCATCTCATGGAGTTTAGGGCATAAATTTTGTGTTGAGGCTTTAGCAATTACATTCCAACACTTATTCCTTAAGTGTACAAGGCTCGAAATGCTCAAACAGACTCCTATTTGGGCTAAAAGATGGCAAAAATGAGTTTGAATTCCAATGAAGTGTTAGACTGAATAGGATGGAAAGTTTTAGGTTGTCGCATCATCCCCCCGTTAGAGGGAATTGCATCCCGAAATTAGAATATAGGTAAAGAAGTAGGCATGAATAATCGAGCAAGGAGGTAAGGATACTTCCTAATTGATTGGTTCTCTCTCTCACAAGTGAATTCGTGTCCTCGGTTGGTATCCCAATGAACCTTCACTAATGGGATGCAACGTTGCTTTGTCCGCTTGACCTCTCGGTCGATGGTCACTACAGTTCTTCCACGAAGGCGAGGCTCTCGTTGATCTCGATCTCATCGAGTAGCTTTACAAGAGTCCTGACAGAAGGGTAATTTTTAAAGTTCGAGATGTGAAGGGTAAAATGTACGTTACTGATTTCGCGGTGTAGGTTGGGTTTGTGAGTTACAGGGTCGATTCGGGAAAGAATCTCGGAGGTCCTAACTATCTTGGATTTAGCTTACCACGCTTTCTGAAGCATATTAAACCTTTCCAGTGTGAGACTTCCAAAAGGATTTGGTCTCTCCTTTGGAATTCCAAAGGTTTCTTTTTCTTGCTTCTCTTCCCAGTCAAGGGCCACTCCCTTCTGGGTCAAAGTCGTAAGAGGTTTCGTAATCCGCGAGGAGTTCTAAATGAACTACAATAGTAATTCAGTGAGACCTAGAATTTGGCGAATTCCCGTTGGCGCCTTCGGTGCTGACAAATTCTCAACGGTTTTGATTATCGGAAGGGTCCTCAAGAATTCCCACATCACTAGGAGTGTGCTTCGGGAATTCGACTCTTCAATTTCCAAAACTCATATTTAGAGAATTTCATGAAGAGCTTCTCTGATCGTAATGTTTCCATGGTTTGTTGTAGATGTTCTTTATGATTTCCTTCTTACTACGTGAATAGATAAGTAAGTCATTTACAAGGACAATGACGAACTGATCTAAGTAAGAATGGCGTACCCTATTCATTAAGTTCATGAATACTATGGGCATATTGGTCCTATCCCAGGGGTATCACTACGAACTCATAGCGTCCGTATCGAGTTTGGAAGATTGTCCTTGGGACATCCTTCACTAGCACTCATAACTGGTGATATTCGGATTTTAGGTCCATTTCTAAAAGGCACTTCGTTCCTTGCGGTTGGTCAACCAATTCATCTATGCGAGGCAGAGGGTAATGTTTTCTAATGGAAATCTTATCGAGGTCTCCGTTAGTCGATGCTTCTACGAAACAATATTTATATCCTCTTGAAGAATAAGACCGGAGCTCTCTAGGGTGAGGAGCTTGGTCTTCCACTTCTATTGTTGAGTAGTCGTTAAGCTGTCCGGATGGTTCTTGTATCTCCATGGGTGTTATACCATAGGGAGATCTGGTTACAGGAGTCATATTGGGTTCTAATTTTGTTCGCATGACGATGCGATTACTCGTAGTCTTGGGCAGTCTCCGCCCTGAAGTTCATATTAGAAGTTATACTTGGTTCATCAATCATAGTCTCGTGTATACAAGTTGTATATAATTAAGATTGAAAAGGTAGTTGAATAAATGATTCTTCTTTAACCTCACATTCCAATGAGGAAAATAAGTTAAAGTGGAATCATCAATTCTAAACCTGTAGAACTTTGATTATGTACCACCCATATGTATACATTCTTCAGCGATATATCAACCGTATGGGTCTTTGGATTGAACTTGACGTACTGTACGAGTGGTACTTCAGGGAGGTTTGCTGAGGTTTCTTCGGAAAGGATAAGATACATGAGTACTTCGGTGTTTTGGAATGACGACTTTGCTAGAAAGGCAATTTCAGAGAAAGAGATGTGCGCACGAAACTGGTATTGTGCGGATCAAATTGACTCAAGTTGTATGATAATGTCGGACTTAATTAGAAGTAAAAGACATTAGATTTGAACATAAAGGCGTTACAGAAAAAACACAACGGTGCAACTTTTAACAGAGTTAAAGTACTTTAGAGTAACTATAGGAATACTGTTGCGAACAAAGTATACTACAAAATGCAAGTATACGCAGCACGAGGGTCCCTTAACTGACGGGATCTCGCAAAAGATAAGACTCGAGTTGCACAAGCTTTAAACATGTTTAAAAGCATATATAATACTTATGATTGGAAGTGAACCTATACTATAGTAGGGTCCTTCGTTGCCTCTTTCCATTCTGAGGTCAAACTCCTCCTGATCCACCGTCGTTCTTCTCTGTTGGGCAGTCCCTCTTGAAATGCCCCACTACGCCACATAGATGGCATATCCGAGAGATTTTGACATTAATGGTTGAAGTAATGTGTTGGATCTGAGTGTTGCAGCAGCTGGTAGTATGTCCGTTCTTGTTGCAGTGATAACAGTGTAACGGACGACAACTACCTAGATGATGGAAGTTGCACTTATTGCATTTCGGTAGGTTCCCAATGTTGGATTAATGTCTAAGTCCATAACTATATTTCGTATGTACTTGACCCGACCCGGCATGGTCCATTTGGGTTGCACTTCACCAACACAATTTATATGGATAGTCTTTTGAGAATAGTATATTTATGATTAATATTAATATATTATAAGTTCTAATATATTAATATGGAATCATATTATTTAATTAGTATTGATCAAGAATTAATTTAGAATTAATTAAGTGATCAAAATGAACTAATTAAATATGGACTCTTATATATGGAATGGGCCAAGTTCATTTAGGTTGGGCTAAGCTCTCATGGATAGTCCATGGAGTGTTTAACCCATGGATCATATGAAATGAAAGGTCATGGGTTTAACCCTAGTCTCCATACTATATAAAGATGTCATTGGTTGGTGAAATTGGCACTAGTGTGGTACACTAAGAAGGGCTAGCCGATTTCACTAGAGAGAACCAAGTATCCATATTCTCTAAAGTCTTCCAAGGTGTTTTGGTGATTTGTGATT